CGCCAGCTTCGACTTGGTCTCCGGTAACAAGCAGGCATCGATTGGGCCAATCCCGAGCGGGGAGTCCCGACATGGGAATTCTGAAGTAATTGTATTCGGCTCCGGCTCCTCGGTAGGTTTAGGTAACTCTGCTGGTTCTCCCATAAATTCGTAGGTCTTCTCGTCTTCTGACTCTTCTGGTATTGGCTCGGGTGTGTCAGGGGCGTACTGATTTGGGAGAGGAGGACCTCCCTAGCAGGTGCAGCAAGTTGCCCAGTATGGGTCGACGATGGCGACTTCCGCGGGAGGAAGGCCGGCTGCTACGGCGTGCCCTTGTTCCGCTTCGCCCGAAGTGCCCCAGCCTCCTCCGGCGCCCCACGTGTCTCCGGTCGTCTCTGCTTCTCCAACTGCTGCTCCTGCTGCTTCTTCGACTTCTGCGCCAGCTTCCTCGGCTGGGGCAGGGGGAGTTCCCCAGCCAGTAGCAGTAACTCCTTCCGTTGCGACGGCACCCCAGCCGCTTGCGGCCGCTTCCTCCAGAGTCAGAACTTCTCCCCAGGATCCAAGCGCGGGTCCGGATGTGTCCCAGCCTGTCCAGCGTGTTGCCGTCGGCTCGTTTTCCCCGGCAGACAGTGTTGCAGGTCCTGACGTGCCACTGTCTTCTTCCATTGTGGCAGGTCCGGTCTCTGCAGGATTGGAGGTCGAGGCGGTCGGGACGGTGCGCAAACATAGAAGGCCGTCAGAGGCGGGTCGCTCGAGATCCATCTCGTCGGGATGTGACCATGTTGGCGCCTCCGTGGGAGTTGTCTTCAGGAGTAGCGTGCGGTGAGAATCGCTGGTTGTGCCCTGAGCCGAGAACTGCAGCACGAAGACTCCGTCGTCATCGACCGCCTTTCCGATGTAAGTCTCGTTATGGAAGAGTTCGAAGGTCTTTTCTTTGCGGTTGCTGCGAATGTCGATTCCGCACCGCATGAGTTGAGCCGACGAAAGCAGGTTGTATTGGAGATCTGGCGCGACGAGGACGTCTCCGATGTGAATGGTGAATTTCGTGTCATTCGCTTCGAGGTAGATCTCCCCAATCTCATGTGCCTTCATTTTTCCGTTGTTGGCGGCGGTGATTTCGCAGGGTCGTCGCATGCGCCGAGAGTTGCTGATGGTCGTCACCATGTGTTGCCTGCAGCAACTGTCAAGGTACCACGTGTCCAGATTCTTGTAGCGCTGGCGGGCAAGGTTGGCGATCTTGGGCGTGACGATGCGATCAAAGTCGCCGGTGTACGGTGAGAGGGCGAAGTATCTGTTTGCGGAGATGCTCGGCGGCGATTCCGGAGTAGGAGGAGGAAGCTCGAAGTCAGGAGGGATGTCTGAGGGGCGATTGGACTAGGTGAGGACTGTCGGATCATTGTCTGCATCGGGCGCAACGGGGTTGGGATTGTCGGAAGGGAATGATACTCGATCTCGATCCCAGTAACGAAACCCTCTGCTGCGGCGAGCCATGCAGCTTATGATTGTTCCCTTCCCTTTGTCCTTTGCCGTGATGACCGCAGAAGACTGAGAAGTGCTGGCGACCGAGGGAGGCGACACAGTGGAGGTTTCGGCGGTAGAAGGCTTGGACTGAGCCGAGGTTTGCTGGTTGGAGGCGTTGCGCCGTTCATCAGCAGCCTGACGCTTGTAGCACTGGTCGATGGAGTGGCCGGACTTATTGCAGTTTTTGCAGAAAGCTCCCTTCTTTCCGCGTTGCTCCCCTTGAGACCCTCCTGTGTAGAAGGCTAATTTTTCCCGCTTGACATTCTTCTCGTTGTACAGGTCGATCTCCTTCTGCTCCGAAAGAAGCGTGGCGCACAGAGCTGACTCCGATATGCTTGCTCGGGCACGAAGGAGTGACTGACACTGGCGCCAGTCGGGACCAAGTCCAGAAATGACCATCGAGATGAACATGTCGTCGGGGACAGAACCACCGCACTTCTTAACTTGATCGCGCAGATTGCGGCACCGGTTGACATACGGTCCCGCTTTCTCCCCTTGTTTCATTTTAACCGAAGTCAGTTGGCTGAGCAGGCGACTCATTGTAACTGGATCTGTTGCCATGTATGAGTTGCGCAGGTGTTCCCAGGATGCGTGCGCGGGAGCCCACTCCGTCTTGTAGGGACGAATGCCGAGCTGCTCTTCAGGTGAGAGATTGCGAAGGAGAGCGGTGTACGCGAGGAGGGATTCGTGGTAGTATTGATGCTTCTCCTGGATGGTTCCTTCCAAGAGAAAGGGCAGGCTTCTGTCGTAGTACATCCAGATCTGAGCGGTTGTTGCGAGAACTCGAATTCGAAACTCCACGTGTAAAAATCCTTTCCGTCGAAAGGAATTGAGGTCTTCAATTTTGAAGTCAATACAAATTTGGTTTGCATTGAGTCGATGTCTAATGATGATCGTTGTGGATTGTCTTGTGCAGGAGCTGACCCTTGACGATTGTCAAAGGTGAAGGACCTCTCGGAGTTGACGCGACGGTCTTCTCCTGGGAGAGGGAGTCCAGCAACGCCACGTGCGTAACTTGAGCCGTCAATGCTCATCGCCTGATGGCTCTCAAGAGCGTTGATGCGTGCGACTAGCTGCTCAACGACAGCGGCGCTGACGGAGGTCACCGCTGATGGCGCGTTAGTCGTTGCTGGTGGTGGGCCCGGTGAGTCTGCAGTAGCTTTCCCTTCAGGAGCCATAGTGTTGCAGACTTTAGGATGTAGTGAATGATTTTATAAAGGATTGTTCTAGAAAGAACGAGGGCTTAACAGATTCTATAATCCACTCTAGCTCTCATACCATGCTGATACAACCAAAGGATCCAGTGGATAGGATAGATTCTGTTAAGTCTGAGAGGAGACAATGAAGTCTCTGTAATGACCTTGTTGAATAATAATGAAGGAGAACAAGATGATTAAAAGATAGGAGTACAAGAGATTTAAATAAAGATCTAGCTAGCCATGTACTCTGAGGGGTACATTCCCTTATTAACTATATTGTATAGCTACAGTAACCGTGACTATTGCTATCATCGACAGTTACCATGTTGCAGTGAGTTAACTGTCGCGCGGTTGCTGGATCGTCAAGGGTCACGACCGTTGACTTCCTTGGACGGTTGACCTTCGGGTGACCCTCGACATTCCGCGTGCTCTATATGAGCTATTGCGGTACTAGTACAGTGGAACAGCTTCGGGAATGTTTATATAACCTTTCGGTTATTCCAACAGCAGCAATGCTCGGTTGTTCCCAAAGCGTATGAAAGCATTGGAAAAAGCTGTTGCGAAAGGTTTTTAGCGCCATTAGCTGATAATGGGCGAAGAGAGGCCGAGGCCCATTGAATGGTGTTGTACGTGGTGAAGTCAAGTTTGAAGTATACATAGCTTACATTCTAAGAGCAAAACCATAGTAATGCTATATAAAAGCACGGAGTGCAAAGCAGCCAGATGCGTGGCTGATAAGCACCTTCGTCGGGCCTTCTCGCTCGACCTTGGCCCTGTTTGGCAGGCGCATGAGCACAGGCTTGGAAATGGGCTACACTTGCATGACCAACCGGGGTACTACCGAGCTAAGCGGTTGATCGGCTATCAAGCCCCGGGATAGGCGCATGAGCACCTAAGCAAAATGATTTTGAGTGACTGCCGAACGGTGTTTTTTGTCACAGGTTTGGGAATCGATATTGGTTCCTGGAACCATCCTCTCCTGGCAAACCGACGCACCACTCATGCGCGCATGGTGCGTCGTGGAGAGGTAGCATCCATGCGCGCATGACTGATGCGGGGCAGCATTGAAGATTGTATAGGTTGCTCATTGGTAGGCAGTTAGGGAAGATGGTTCGATATTGGTTATTGTAATTTTCTATCCCTGACCAGCGAGCAGGGCACCCCAGACAAATTTCCTTCACCGAGCCTGCGACTGTTCCCCGCATGAAGTCACTGTACACGAAACCCATACTTAACAATTTGGTACGTTACACCATCCCGAACCAGTGCTCATTCCCGAGCCTAGTTGCTCATGCGCCTGCCAAACAGGGCCCTTTTCTCGCACGGCCCCTCACTCCCGCTGCTGTGTTTCCTTTCCCCTCTCCGTACGCCCTGTGGTGGTGTGGCGCACTGGGGCAAAGATCATATTGGGGCCGGAAAATAGCAGGGAGGTGTCCAAATTAGGGCCGGGTAAATCCTGACCGTTCGATACATCCCCGTAGCTGCCCATGTGGCTGGGCCGATTACCCGAACCGAGATTATGAGGAAATTACTAAAATCAAGACGTGTTTCATTCAATATTTTTCTCATACTAAGCTCGCGTCGTATTCCTCTGGAAGTATGTTTCTTGATGTATTTTTTTAAGAGACACATCACTCAACGTGACAAAAAAAATAAAACCCGCTCGGAAACGGATGCGACTCGGGGAGGCATCAACCCTAAACTCCTTGCTGGGTCCCGTGTTTAGGGTTGATCCCTCCCGAAAAGACGTCCGGGTTCGCTAAGGGTTTCAGTTTTTTTCCCTTCCCTAACAGTTACCGGTAGCGTCGTCTAGTGCTTGGTGGCGCTATCGGCGTAAAGTTTCCTCTCAATCAGTCACGACGCGTAAGAACCTCTGACAAGTGAAAACAATTTCACGATTACGGGAATTTCAGTAATTTACTCTAAATGTCTAGGTTCGACTACCCGGCCCTAATTTGGACACCCCTCTGCTATTTTCTGGCCCCAATATGATCTTTGCCCGGCGCACTGGCGGTGCGGGCGAACCGCGCGCTGCTGTGCGAAAAAATCCCTTTTGTTCATGGACCGTGCCACGTGCGCGTGAAAGCAGCAGTTTTCCGTGCTCCCCGTTCTCCCCCCCAGCATCATCCCTGCCCGACCCTACAAAATTCAGCGGTCTCTTCATCAAGACAAACCTCTACTGCTCCGCTCTGGATCTCAGGATATACAAAGCAGTCGAATAGCGCGGCACACAACGTGCGATCTTTCATGGACTGCCAAGTTCCTTTCATCCATCCACTGCTTGCTTTTCGCTCGCCCAACATGCTACTCCCTCGCTCTCCCAGTAAGCTCCAGGCAACCAAGAGTGCACCACGCGCAGCGCTGCTGTGCCTCGTCATTTCCATCGCGCTCTCCGCGCCGTGCGCCGTGCGCGGCGCGCAGGGTCCGGCGGCGACGTCGATAGCGGCGGCGCTGGCGAGCGCGTCGTCGTCGTCGCCGTCGCAGTCGTTCAACGTGTCGCTGCTCGTCCTCAACGCCACCGGCCTGCTCGCCAAGCTGCCCGCGCTCGCGCCGCTCACTCTCTTCGCGCCCACCGACGCCGCGTGGCGCGCCGCATTCCGCGCCCTCGCGCTGCCGTATCTAAGCGGCTACATTCCCTTCCCCGGTGCCGCCGTCGGCGGCGAGACACCCGGAAGCCCGGGCAGTCCGGGGAGCAGCTCGGGCGGCACGGGCGGGTCGGACGCCGCCAATTCCAGTAGCCCCGCGCAGCCGACCCCAGCGCCCGGCGTTGTCCCCGCGGCGGGAGGCGTTAGCGGCGGGGTGAGCGCGGCGATGGTTCCCGGCCTTCCGCAAGTTGACTTGCCGCTGCCCGGCGTTCCCGACCTGCCCATGCCCGGGATTCCCGGCGGGTCGGACGGATTGAATTCGACGATACCTGTGGATAACATAACAATTCCCATGCCCGATGTCAACATGACCATGCCCAACATGACCATGCCGAACATGACCATGCCCGACTTCAACTGGACCTTTCCCAATTTAACAGATTACAACCCGCTGATTTTCGACCCGCTTCTCGCCGCACTGAGCGCCGTGTTTTCCGGCGACGGGACGCCCGCGTCGCTGGCGGCGCTGGCGAAGGAGCGGCCCGAGACGCTGAAGGCTCTGTCGGAGCTGCTCGCGTACCACGTGGCGACGGCGGCGCTGAACGCGGCGGCCATCGCGGCGCGGTTCACGGCGGAGGCGGGCAACCTGACGACGGTGAACGGGCAGGGGCTGTGGATCAACTACAACAAGAGCGAGTCCGCCGCGCTGCTCAACGCGTACTCGCCCGCGCAGCGCGCGCTCATCAGCGAGGGGATCAGCGTCGGGTACGACGGCACCATCTACTACCCCAACGGCACCACCGTCGCCGCCAACGGCACGGTCATCTTCGACCCTGCGACGAGCCCAATAAGCGTGGACTCGGAGGGCAACAGCTACTACGCCAACGGTACTGTGATCAGCGCCAACGGCACTGTGGTGAGCACCAACGGCAGCGCCATTGCCATCGACGGGCCGGGCGTCCCCCTGCCCCCCACCGTCTCGTCGCCCCCCTCCAGCGGCGACGGCTCGGTGGCGCCACGCGGCATGGCTGGCGCGCAGATGATGATGGAGCCGCAGCCGCAGGCGCAGCCTCAACCCATGTTGGAGCCCGCCCCCACGATGGGCGGCGGACCCGCTGATATGCCCCCCGCCACCACCATGCCCGCCCCCGCTGATGTGCCCCCTGCCACCGCCACTCCCGCCCCTGCCGATATGCCCCCCAACGTCCTGGTGGACCCGATCCCGGGGGTCATGGGCGGGGGGGGCATGGGAGGCGGCTGGGGCAACTGGAGCGCGGAGGAGCAGCAGCAGTGGTGGGGGAATGCGACTGAGTGGATGAACAAGGCTGTGCCGGGGCTCAACGTGACTGCCACTGAATACCTCGCGTGGCTCAACGCCTCGTCCTACACGTGGGCGGCAGGGTCTAATAGCATGTGGGAGCAGGCTGGCAGCGACATGAAGGTGTCTCGGGTGGTGCGGGCTGATCTGATGGACAGCGCTGGCATCGTGGTGCACGGCATTGATGGCGTGCTCTTCCCGCACTTCCGCGACTTGCCTGTGTTTGACAAGGGCGGCGCAGGAGGAGGAGGAGGAGCAGAGGGTGATGTGCCTATGCCCATTCCCATGCCTGTCGTGGCGCCTGGTGGCGTTGCTAACGACAGCGCGGACGGCGCCGGCACGAATGGCACTGCCACTGGCGGGAAGCCCGACGACAGTGCTGCGGGGGGTGCTGGTGCTCCTGCTGCTGCTGGGTCTGGCAGCGGCAGCAGCAGCAGCAGTGGTGGGCAGGATGCATCTAAGAGTGCAGCAAGTGGCACGCCAACACCACCTGCTGGGTCACCCCCTGCGGGTAAATCACAGAGCAAGGCTGCTGCAGGTGAGCGCTGCCTCCTCCACTCTCTTCTTCCTTTTCTCCCCCTCGTTTCTTGCCGCAGACTCTCCTGTTTTCCTCTCTAGTGTGTGTGCCTGTGCTGTGTGCATTCGTGATGGCTATGGGTGCAAGCATCCGCTCTTCACCGCACATCTTTAACATTCCCCAATTTCTTCGATTTGTGTCTGTGCTGTGCGCAGTCCCCGTCCTCTTGACTGCTACGCTCTCCCTCGTGGCTTTGCTATAGCCTACTTGCTCGTAATGCTACGACTATCCACCACAAACCTGTCATCCTTCCTCTGGCTTGTAGTTTTTAGGCCAGAGGCGTAGCTTTCTATGTATTTATTGCTGGTTGCTCTCTCCTTTACCTCACCTAAACCAGACTTCGTTTTTTTTCCTCCATCCCTGTAAGCAGTGGCATGGTATGGATGGGCCTTGTTTGTGTTGGTAGGAATATACCGGTATGTTACAAATCATACAACTACGCTGTTGATTTACCTCGTTTGCACCCTGTGGCAAGCTTCTGGGTGGTGCAACATCACGGGAACTCAACTGAGTGAAATAGATAGGCGTGGAACAAACCAATGGGAAAAAAACATGATGAGCAAAACAATACCACTTTTGGAGAAGGAAAGACAGGGAGGGGGGCAATAGACAGGCAAGCGCCGAGCATGGTGCAGGGTACTGTAGGTTGTAGCAACATGACCTGGTCTGCATGGCTCGCCCAACTCCTGGACTCACAGCTCAATCTTGAGAGGGACTGAACTGAAGCCCTTGGGAGTTCGTTTCCTTTCTAGAGTAAGCACTATGAGAAGAGCGGTGACAGCAACAACAAGAGCAAGACTGATGGTGGCAGCACTTGGCATGGAGCGAGCAGCTGTGGTCGTGGGAGAGGGTGGGGAAGCTGCGTGGGAGGGCTGATATGTCGCCTGGGAAGCAGCTGGCGGGGAGGTGGGCGCTGACACTGTAGTATGTTGGGCAGGGATGGGTGCATAGTGCACGTCGCTTGTTGCATGTTGATCGATGCATGTTGCATGCTAGATAAATGCATGTACCGTGTTACACACACAAGAAAGCCAGCTGAATGTTCCATATGATGTCAGCATGTGCATGCACTGGAACGCAACCCCGACCCCTCACACCTCACACGCCATCTACCCACGCAAAAACCACCTGTGTATGTAACCATATATCCTGATCACACTCTGTTGAAGGTGGTGTGGCAGCACTCCCATGTTCATATATCCGCTCTCCAGGCAGCACAGGTACTCACGTTCATGGGGCGTGCAGGAAGAGCAGAAGGAGAAGCAGATGCTGCAGAAGGAGGAGATGTTGCTCTGCTGCTGCCCACACTCGCTGCCGTGTGGAGGACACGCCAGCCCCGAGCTAGTGAGGTTCCTGGAGGAGAGATGTGGGGAAAGGGAGAATGGAGAAAATGACAAGGGAGAAAGTGAAGAGAGAAAGGACCAAGAAAGAAAGGAGGAGGAGAGGGAGGAGCTAGGGAGAAGGAAGCAAGGTAGAATGGAGCAAGGGAGCAAGGGAGCAAGGGAGAAGGGGAGGAGACATTGAGGGATGAGGGATCAGGGGAGCAAGGGAGGAGATGGCGTGTGGTGCAGTGGAGTATGGCACATGTTGCTGGCATAGTGTCACACAGGTGCCGCTATGCCGCTATGCCGCTATGCTTCTCACCACCTGGGGGCATGCGTGCAGTCGGATCACTACGCAACAGATTCACGTCACATGAATCTACTGGCCGCCATGACTGCAAAGTCGCAGTTGCCATATCCTATCACACCAACAAAGCGTGTAGTTCGGGACTTACATCCGGATGTCAGTGAAGGTCAGTGGGATGGAGCCTGAGAGCTTGTTGAAGCTCAGATCACTGCCATGGGGGATTGGATTGGCCACGGGTGTAGGGCACGAGCAAGAGCAGGCGCATGAGGCAGGCAGTGAGACCAGGAGACCTGAGGCAGGCCTCTATGACGGATGAGTGGAGAGAAAGGGAGAGAGGGAGGGAAGCAAGGACCATGGGGGCAATTGAGTTTGTCTGTTAGGGCGGTATTGATTCGCAACGGGGCCCAGCCGTGCGACTTTTGAGTCGCGTCAACATCAAGGCAAAGCTTACATGGTACTTCCGACATGTTCAAAGCAGGTAGGCAAGGGCCCCTCGAGATCGTTGTGACCCAGCTTCCTGAGATGAACCCCGTTTGGGGGCACATGCATGTCAAAGATGGAAAGGGGCACATGCATGTCAAAGATGGAAAGGGGCACATGCATGTCAAAGATGGAAAGGGGCACATGCATGTCAAAGATGGAAAGGGGCACATGCATGTCAAGATGGAAAGGGGCACATGCATGTCAAAGATGGAAAGGGGCACATGCATGTCAAAGATGGAAAGCGGCACATGCATGTCAAAGATGGAAAGTGGGGCGGAGGAGGGAACAAGTAGATGGATGAATAGTAGTGGTATGAGACCCTGTCAAGTAAAGTGAACCATGGGGTCGTCCTTGCATACCATGCATAGCGTGGTTGGCCAGTGGTCTGGTCACATGCCCCATGCCATGGTTGCCCACCATCACCCACGTCCTAGGGGTGAACTGATTTGCTTTCTGGCGCTGTGCTGTGTGGTGTGGTGCGGACCTTGGGTGCAAAGACACGCTATGGTATTGTCTTGCTCGTGCACAATGCGATGCACGTAGTAACCCACGGTATGTGAAACTCACCAAAACTGGCGTGCTAACGACTAGCGATCCGCCTAACCCACGGTTTGCTTGCAGGCAACGAGTTGTGAAGGGCTTGACACATGTCCGACAAGGCGGTGAGTCCCACAAGGTGGTGAGTCCGACGAGCCACTTAGCCTGACGAGCCGGTGAGGCACCAGTTGTTCAAGCTGGCTTGAGTTGCCTCACCATGCTGCACTTTCTCAGGCCTCTCATCTTTACTTGGCATCTCACCAGAAGATCCTCCGATAGCATACCACACGGTGCCCCCCTCTAGTCCGCTGCAACCTGGGACTTTCTGTGGCTCACAGTAATTTTGGAATGGAGCCAAGGGCAGTAGGCGAGGAGCCCGAGAGGTCATTGTACGAGAGGTCCCTGCAGGGGGGCGCACATGGGCGCACATGGGCGCACACAGGCAACAAGCCGTGACGGGGCTTGACACGTGTACAACAAGGTGGTGAGTCCGAGCCGACAGGATGGTGAGCCTGACGAGCCACTTAGCCTGACGAGCCACTTAGCCTGACAAGCCACTTAGCCTGACGAGCCACTTAGCCTGACGAGCCACTTAGCCTGACAAGCCACTTAGCCTGACGAGCCACTTAGCCTGACGAGCCGGTGAGGCACGGCACTGGTTAAACGAGCTCGCTTGCGCTGCCCAGCCCACCCATGCTGCATTTGGTCCATCTCTCGCTCATCTTTACTTGGCATCTCATCATAACATCCCACATGGTGCTCCCCTCTAGTCTGCTGCAACCTGTGAGTTTCTGTGGCTCACAGTATATCTGGAATGGAGCAAAGGGCGAAGGGCAAGGAGCCCGAGAGGTGATTGTAGGAGAGGTCCCTGCAGAGGGGCACACATGGGCATCCATGGGCACATGGGCGGGCAGACGAGCAGACAGGCGTGCGGGTGGGCAGGCGGGTGAGAAAGGCAGGCAGCACAGGCTCTGAGGAGGGGACAACAGATTCCAGTGGAGCTGATTTTCCAAAACCTATCCGGCCTTCAAATATTGTTGAATGGTGCATTTGTGATGTGAGATTACAGTAGCAAGGATAACCAATCAGAGCATGGAGATGGATCGTGTATGAGGCCCAGCACTGACACGCCCTCACAAGCACTTGTCACAAGCACTTTTCACAAGCACTTGTCACAAGCACTGACAGGGAGGAGAGCGGCAAGGAGTCGAGGGCAGGGATGGTGCCCGACAGCATGTTGGAGAAGAGGCTCCTGTGCCATGCCATGCCATGCCAGGCATGTGGTGCCATGTGGTGTGGGACATGGGGGAAAGGAAAGGAGGGGGAGGGGGTGGGGGAGGGATCGATGCCGGGTGAGCAGACAGAGACGGATCAAGGGAACAAAGGGGGCGACGGGTACCAAGGGAAAGGGGAAGGGAAGAGGGGCAGAAGGTGAGAAAGAAGAGGGAGTGAGAGTTCCAAACACGTGAGTGCAAGTGGGTGCGTAGGAGGAAGGGGACGTGTGGGGCTCACAGGTAGGTGAGGGGCAGGTGGGTAATGGCAGCAGGGATGGTCCCCGAGATGTTGTTGTAGTAGAGCTCGCTGTTGCATGCACAAGGGACAGCGGACAGGGGACAGGGGACAGACAGGGGACAGGGGCACGACACACAGGGTTAGATGGGATGACACAAGGATGGATTAAATAGCAGTATTAGTCAATTCAGTCAATCGTTGTGGATTGTCTTACCCACCATCCATCGTTTACCCACCATTGGATAACAATTGTGGATTGGTGCATGAATGGATACCCTTGCAGGATTGATGCCACCGAGGGCGAGTGGAAGGAGGCGAAGAGTCAGCAATGAGCAAGTGGGAGGGAGGCAGACCGAGAGTGCAACAAGGGAGGCGTACAGGTCAGTGAGATTGGTGAGGGCGGAGATGGTGGAGGGGATCGAGCCAGTGAAGCCATTCAGACCGGCCCGCCTGGAGGTGGGAGAGGAGGAGGGGCGAGAGAAGCAATGAGCGCACTGCTGGCTGGTAAGCAAGGGAGTGGGGCTGGGTGGGCCACAGGGCAGTGGCAAGAATGGAACAGTGGGAGCAAGCACTGCGAATGCTCAGATCTGCAGGTCAAAGGAGTGAACCCAAGATGGTGTGCTCGTGATGCCGTGATGCCTCACAGAGTCTCCAGCCCTCTAAGTGCCATCCAATCGGTGGGGAACGGTGCAGAGCGGTGGACGCTAAAGTTGCCGGTGACATCCCTGCAGGGTGGTAAAGGGCAGGAGGGTTGGGGGAGGCAAGGGTCACTCCAGTCAGTGGAGATGCATGGGGGGGATGGCAGTGCACGTGGCATCACCTCACCGTAGCGACAGCGCATTGCCTTATCCGACTCAATAACAAATCACGATGCACAGATCGATGAGCAGGAGCTGGTGCACATGCGGAAAGTGCAGAGAGAATGCTGGGTCCGTGTGTCTGGTGCCCGTGAGAGGGACGAACAGCAGTAGGCGAGGCTAGTGAGGTGCAGAAGAGTAGGACGCTGAGGTGCAGGGGAGAGGAGCAGGACGGTGAGGGGAA